GATAGTACAAATGCTGCTGAAACCTTACCTCGGGACCCAGTTCTTGTCTTCCTTTACAGTGTTCTCAGTTTTAGGCGTCCTTTTTCTGTCTTTTCCACTCCCTGCATACCCCAATTCCTCATGTCCCTAATTAATCTCTCTCGTAATCTCTTCGCCTCCACTCCATCTCTATTTTTACCACTGTAAACCTCAACTATATCCTTCATTGTCTTGTTGTCGAAGATTTAAAAAACCTTGAGATACAACATTTTGTATCTTTTGATGTCACCTCAGCAATTTCATCCCAAAGTGTTTCTTTCTGTCTCTGAACACTGTCTTTTTCCGTTGCCGGCGCATAGCTACATTCTACACATGCCTTTCACTGAGTCTCTTTCTGTGAAACTTCCTTTTAGATCCATTCACGAACAGTAGTGACCCTGCCAAAACACAGAGAAGGGTGCCTCAACCCCAGCCAACCTCCAACTTCCCTCAGAAACTGCACTAGAGCACCCGGCTCACATAGTTCAGAAGCACAAGCCCCACGAGACAGCTTCCAAGAAACTCACTTTTCTTCCATCACAGAGACGCAGCAGTAAGAAACGCTGGTCCTACCTCTCGTGCAGCATCCCACAAGCAGGATCAGGCTGTCCGCTTTCCTTTCACTTCAACAATGCATCCAGGAATGGTAGTCAAGCGAGAGCGATCTGAGAGAGCCAGCCGCCACTCAGGGGCCGTTGCACAAACACGAGTATTGTCCTGCTGCCTAAATCCCTCCCTCTTATGGTGACTCTCTGCTTGACACAGCCCAGCAACGCAGCTCTGCACTAACACAACTAGACATAAACTCAAGCCTGTGGAGCTGCTGTTAGAGGACGCACAACAGACACTGCAGAGACTAATACTCACAATTATACCTCAGTGTGTATTACTTCTACGTACTGTATAAATAAACACGACACAGAACGTGAACTGAAACAAAAAAGGCTGCTCACCAGTAATGAGCTCCCTATTCATTAGTCCTGCTATTACATAATACGTCCAGGAGCACTGAATGCAATAAATGTTCACAGACTTACAATTACTACTAATAGCTGTATCCAATGGCATAATGCACACAGTTTGTGCCATTACTGAAAAATCTGGGGGAAAAAGCAATTACAGGATTTTAAAAAAGAAAAAAGGAGCATGTGATCATGGCAGCTACTGCTCATTGCCCTTACGCCATTTTTTCATGAGAATTGACTCAAATATTGATCGTTCTTAATGGAAAAACAGTTACTATCAATGACGTTCACTCATCAGCGCATATTTTCAAACTCGGCTTTCATTCTTAAAGAACGTGTGGTTATGCCTTCAGTTTAGAAAAAAGAGCACAAATGTGGTGGAAATAGAAAACTGATTATTGCCTAGATATGTAGTGTTTACTTTTGTACGGAAAGACTTAGTTTCAGTTAGAATAGAGAAATTACATCATTACAAGAGGTTTCAGTTTTTAGAAATCTAGACCTTTGTAGAAAATAGAAATGAATAAGTACAATTTATGATAACAGCAAAAACAACAATAATAACGATAACTTTGATTTTTATTGCGCATTTCAAGAAACTCAATGAGGCTTTACAAAGAACATAAATAAACAAAAAGGCTAGAGGTTGAAGGCCTTCTTGAACAGGTGAGATTTGAGAAGTTTCTTA